ACCAATCAAGCAGAACATAGCAAACTCCAAGACCAATAAACACAGACTAAGACTCCCAACCAATCAGGATGAAGAAAAAACCATTCTGGCACAGCAGTAGGCTAGCCCCAAATTTAAAACTGAAACAGCTGTAAAAGTCTGACTCACAGATGAACACAATACAGAAGCCTGACGATAGCAGATGAGATTCTGCCGAAACGTTGCTACAACTTTAAAAGCACAACTATAATGACGTGGGAAAATACCCAAACAAAGCTGAATACCATACATATAAATACCCGCGAAAACTTAAGAAAACAAACACATATATAAATGTATCACAAAAATCTCATTGAGTGTTGCTGACTCATAGTCTTCCTTAAAACTGGAGGGAACAAGATAGCCGTATTCATGCGAGACTTCACAGAGTCGAATGGAGTGTTGGAGTAGGGCCTTTCTATAATGATAAGCTCATATTATTTCAGCCATCATGTTTTTTGAAGAGAGCAAACGTTTACAAGGCTACAGTGGGCTTTGTTGTATGGAGAGTAAGAATTATACATGAGAAAAAGGATACCGAAGATTTCTCAAAGAAACAGGAACCCACTTTTTCCTAATAACTTTAATTGCCCTTCCTCTCACATAAATGGTTTGACTCCAGAGGGGCTTCTGCCAGCAAATAGAGTTTTTACTGATTTCTTTTGCAAGCTTTCCACTTCTTACATTGTGCATTACTAAGCGTTTCAGGCACATTGCATGAATTGGTAAAAATCCACATGCACACTTCAGTTGTTTGTCGAAACCTTATAGGGAAGTGTGTAAGTTCTTTCTCTGAATGACAGAACTCGATAAGACTGGGTTCATGAAGTTTATGTATTTTTGCAAATACTGAGGAATATGGTTTGGGATTTTAAAAAAAACTATGTTCAGACTAAGTAATGTTCACAATGTCCCTATAGAAATGTTTCTCAACTTTGGCAGTTTTTAAGAGGTATGGACTGCATCTCATAGAATTCTGAGAGTTGTAGTCCATGCCTCTTTAAAGTTGCCACGGTAGCTACAGTGAAGTCCAGTAAGTGCCTTGGACTTGGTTTCAGTCTATGGGGTTAAAGAAGAAGCCCTTTGCCAGCTGTTGCGATGTAATATGGAGGAGGGCACAGGTACAACTTCCGTTAGTTCAGCGTCTGCCCTCACTTAGGAGGGCATGCTGAAAGTTGTAGTCCAAAAGTGGGCAGGGCCAGGCCCCATTTGGCAAGAGGGAGGCTGGGAGCTTAAAGGGTTGAAGTGAGTGCCTTAAGCAGGTACAAGTTACAAGGCACATTGTTTGCTTCCAAATCCAAACTACCCACACTGAAGGACATCAAAGAAGGGATACCAGCGGGCCCATTTATTGTTTTTATTTTGATTGTGCCCCCAATAATAGTGTTTGCCGTGTGGTGGAATAAACACAGTGAAATGCTCCAGATGGTTAAATCAAAATCTTCTCTAGTATTTGAGGCTTGATATATAGCTAGCTGTCAAAGGGAGTTGCTCATCGCACAAGGCAAGTGTTCTGTCACGGTTAAGATCCAGCTCTGAATTACTTAAAATCTGTTCTTTTGTGTTGTTTCCAGTAGTGTCTCTGTTAGCTCCTGCTCAGTTGACAGCTATGTGCATATTCATCAAAACCCTTTTAAGGAGAATGCCAATCTTCCTTTGCTACTTAGCACCTGCCTCTTTTCTTGTAGAAGCTAGAGAGATTTGCATAAAGGAAAAAGGAATTGTATGTGAAAAATATTTTTGATGCATTATAAATGTATTTTGAACTGAACTGGGGTGGGGAGCATAAATGGTCTATTTTATTACATAAAGGTCTTTAATCCAATAATGTGTGAACTTCAGGCATTGACATTTGCACTGTAAAGGGAGAATCCTGTTAGCATCATGATTATGTATTAACATGGCTATAGTAAAGCTCATTTTTTTTGTTCATTAATAAGGATCAAACATTGTTTTTGAAACCTTAGATTTAAATGGAATGTCTTAGTCTGGTTTTAGGAAATGCTCAAATACACTCAAATTTCACCTTCAATTTTTGGAAACGGGAGTTTTGTGGTATATTATGAATCTTTTGTTGATAGTTATTTTGTCAGCATTTTTAAGAAACAAAGGTTTGGCAGTGCTTTTCCTCAAAGCACGGTGGAGAATTAGCCATTTCTCCCCAAGGAGTAGGGGGGAAAGGGTAAAATTCATTCCTGCCTGTTCTTACGACCTGTCACAAGGCTCCATTTCCTGTTACTAGATGGGTGTGGCAATTTGGTTGTTCTTTAAGGAATCTCTTGCACACTTTGGTCCATTCCACACTGACACAATACAGGCCCACTCTGTATCAGTTACAGGAAACAATATGAATGTCACAGGAGGCAAAGGCCGCCTGTTTTCTTTGTTTCAAAGAAAGTGATGTGCCATTTGTTAATATAAAAGAGAAATATTGAAAATATATTGAAAAGAGCAATTTTAAATTATTTTTGGCTTATGTTGCAATATTTATTTTCTTGTATTAGAAATTCCTTTGTAGAGAAAAAATGTATTTTTCATTAATGCAAAACCTATTTCTCCTTTTTGTACATTTTCCATGTTAGTTAATCCTTAAAGCAATATAATGTATCAAGGTTGTTCTGTGTGAAAGCTGTATTATGCATGCTGTTTGTGTTGCCTTGGAATAGGTCTGTCTGCCATAATTTTCATCATGTTTCGATTTAGTGTATGCTTTAATACACATTGGGACCATGGCCCATTTGCTTATGGAAAAAGAAATATCTTTGCATTCTTCAATGTGTTAGCAAATGCAGTCAATAAAGATGTGTTTTCTGTGTACCTTGATCTGAATGCTGAATATCTAGCAGCCCAGGTTAACTCAGTATTAAAGGAAACCATCCTTTAATATGGCCACAAGTGCCCACAAGACTTTAAGATGAATCTATGCAATATGAATTGTTTATATCAGGATGGATAACGTTCAATTTTAATTTCTTATTGTGTGGCCATTAGAGTGCCATAATTCAACGAAAGGACAACAAAATTGCAGAATGTGATATGAACTACTTTTCAATAGTTTAGGAATAGAAATTGGTCTCTCGAAAGCCAGAACAGTAAGCAAACAAGATTTTTAAGCAGAGGAAAGTGCTTATTTTCATCTATTTTCTAGTTCACTAAACACTCCAGTGACTGTTTATACTCCTACACACAACCCAGAGAGTAAGAATTAAAATTGCATGTATTATGTGTTTTTAATGGTTAACTTACAAGACATTAAATATTGAAACCTAGTGAAGAGGATGGAGAAAACGAGTTGATAGCAAAGAAAACGATCAGCTTTATATGACAAATTTTGTTATGAACACTAAACAACTAGGTGTAAAATAACAGTTACGTATAACTAAACTGAATGTATGTGTTCCTTTTAATGTCAGGCTTTCAAGTTAAATAAGTCAACAATACCAGATAATCCTTGCTTAACAGTGGGTAACGGGGACCAGCCATTCTAGCAGTTCTACTTGTTAGGCAAATCCTGCGCAATTGCAGCATCCCACGGTCATGTAATCACCATTTCCAATTTCCTGCTGGCTTCCCCATTGACTTTGCTTGTTGGAAGCCAGCAATGAAGGTCACAAATAGTGATCCCAAGACACTGCAACATCATAATTGCCAAGCACCTGTAGGACAATCATGACTGTGGATGCTGCATTGGCCACAATTACAAGAATCCATTGTAAGACCCCTCCAGTGCTATTATAAATTTGAATGGTCACCAAAGAGGTATCTGTTCAATAAGGACTACTTGTAAAGTAGTAAATTCATCCTATGAGAAAGACAAGTTGCCTTGGATCTCCAAATGCCAATAACAGCAGATAACGTCAAACATAAAGGCCAATAAACTTAAGTATTCCATTCTAAAGTTCATTTAAGTAGACAACCAGATAAATGTGTTTAGAATTGGAGTTATAAACACAGTGGTCAAAATCTAACAGTTCTTCAGGTCCTCAGTGGCTAAGTATAATTAATTCTGAATTCATTTATGATAAGACACACTGAGTTACCAATAAGATGTTTTAGTTGCACTCTAAAAAGTTAACAATTTAAATTAAATATAACAAATGAGATTATTCTCCACTCCTGTCAAGTTTTTAAAATGTAATGAAAACTTTTGGAAAGTTTTACCAACTTGTTGCTATCTTTGCCTACTTCTTAAGGGAGGAATTGGGGAGGATAGAACAGGTTTTTGTAGCAGCTACCCTCCAGTTTATTAGCTGTTCAAACTTTTGAAGGATTAAAAAGCAGTTAAGACATCAAAGAAATCTAAAAGCCCTTTAAGCTTTTTTTCAGGCACAAACTGCTGCTGCATTTTCTAAAATAATAT